CAGCTCCCAGACACAGAGAGGGCACAGATAACCAGCACCACTGCCTCCCAGAGAAGCCAGAACATAAACAGTCAGCACCATTTTATGTAGGGCCCACAGCACATGCCCCCCTGAAGCAGTGCATGAGCAGCTGTGGTTTGTGGTCGCTGGGACAGACACCCCCACCCATACCCTGTTCCGGGGTGTGGGAATGGCAGCTCCTCATGTTCCGGGGCCCCAGCTTGCTCCCCCCTTGCTCACACCCACCTCCAGGAACTGGGCGCTGACTTTGAACTCTGGCACGGCTGTGCCACGCTCCTGCGCTGCCCGCTTGCGCCGCTCAATGCCGCTGAAGAGGTGGGAGATGGCCCGCGGGATGATTCCGTGCTCCTCCTCCGAGATGTTTGTGTCAAAGCCGGTGCCCATGGTGTACGTCTTCCCAGCGCCGGTCTGAAAGGGCACAGGACGGGCACTTAGACAGCCCCAGGGCACATCAGCCTAAGAGCAGCCCCCTGCAGCCCAGTCCTGGGCTGTCAAACCCAACCTGCACCCGCCCCTCCCTGACTATTCCCCAACAGCTCTGTTGATGCCCCAAATTCCCAACCCACAGCCCCCCCAATATTCCAGCCCTGGGCCTCTGCCCCTGCACCCCACCAACGAGCCTCAACCTGAAGGCCCAGCCAAGCACCTTCCCACATGGCTTTGCTGGCGCAGCCAGATAGCCCACAACTGCTAACAGCCGAGCCTTGCTTCAGTGCAACAGCCCAGGTTTACCGCCGAGACACAGGACAGGGACAGCCGGTACCTGGCCATACGCCAGCACAGTGGCATTGTAGCCTTCGAAGCAGCCCTCGATGAGTTTGCTGACGCAGGTGGTGTAGATCCGCTCCTGCCACGTGTCCAGGTCGAACACAAAGTCATAGGTGAACGCCTTGTCCTTTCCCAGCAGCACCTGGGGCTCCCCAGGCGTCACTGAAGTGCAGATGTGGCATCCCTCAATCTTCTCCTTTGACAGCTGGGGACGGATCCTGCCAGCGGGAGAAGAGACAACTGAGGACACAACAATCTTACTTCTCCCAGAGCACCCTGCATCCCTGCAGCAAGGGGGACCACCTTGCCCACCAGTAAAATGCAGCCACCTCTGGGCTGCAACCTGGCAGCATCTGCTTAACCACACAAAGTAACAGTCTGGAACAGGAATACTACACCCAGGTGAACCTGCGGGATGCAGGCTTTAGAAAGGCAGCTGGAATTTGGTCAGGGTAGCCCCCCGACTCTTGAGACTAATGCAGTAAGATACTTAGAGACCACACAAAGGGTAGGGACTGAGGTGTTACTGTCACCTCAATGTTGCTGGTTCAAATCCCCCCCAGTCAGTAGCTACTGACAGCAATTCCCATGTGATGGTTGCTTGGCCCGTAGCAAGTGATATTGGTGGGCCCCAATATACACACACCGGTATATGAGGGACAGTAAATTGTGGGGGAAGGTTTATGGTAAATATCCTTCTGCTATTACAAAAACAGTTCCTTATGATTATTGGTCTTGCAGTAGCTCATAGGAGCCCAAGTTATGGATCATGACCCCCTGGGGCCAGGCGCTGTACAAACACAGAACAAGAAGAGGGTCCCTGCCCCAAAGAGCTGATGATCAATTGAGAGACAAGAGACCACAGGCGGCTGCTGACAGACGACGAGCACAAGGAAACACGGCCCTGCCCAAGGCTAACAGAAGTCTTAGAAGCACCTTTCCTATTTATTAATGGCTCCCTGGCCTAGTCAGATGCCTTCCTCCCTCCTCCTCCTCCCATTCTGCTAGAAAGAGCAAGACCCATGTCTTCAGCACTGGCCTCTGATTCTGGAGGCTTCTCTTTCTGGGGAGCCCATTTTGAGACAATTGGGGCCCAATTTCCAGAGGTACTGACTGTCCCGCAGCTCCCACTGACGTCAGCTGGATTTCCTTGTGCTCAAACCCTCTGGAAAAAAAAAATATCAAAGCCCACTGTGTCTCAGGCTGGGCCCTCCAGAAGCAGAGGCACCCCAAATCCGTGGCTGCTATTGAAAGTTTGTGTTGACCAGCTCCCATTTTCATTTGCACAATAAGTGGGTCAGGTCAGAAGATGCTGGATGCTCCCTAAAGACTGTTCCCAGGGGCAACTTGGGCCCTTGGGTGGATTATTTCTCCTTCCAGACCTCTCTCCCACTCCTTTACTGCTTGCAACCCCTCACCCCATTAGATACGTAGGGGTCCCAGCTGCTAATTTATGGCAGTGGGTGCATCAGATTGTCCTAACTTGAATACGGGTTTGGATGACCTGGGCACGTACAAACTACTAGGACAGGTAACACCTGGTTTAGACATGCAGATCCCCAATCTACAAGGCATAGGTACGTAGCCCCCCACATCTGCGTACAGCCCCAAACTGCACACCCAATTCAGGGATCTAGAAGAATGCATGCTCACTCATTTAAAAATGTTATTTATAAATTCCTAGAGGGACCATTCTGATCATACAGTCTCATCTCCGGCATAACACAGGCTTTCCCCAGTAACTTCGGAATCAATACCATGACATGTGGGTGAGCTAAAGCAGATGTATTAGAGATGCACATTCTTGATTTCAAAGCTTCAAGGGATGGAGTATCCACCACAGCCCTGGGTAAGTGGTTCTGGTGTCTACTTACCCTCACTGTTCAAATAAAACACAAACCTGTGCTTTATGTCCAGCCTGAATTCATCTGATATCAGCTCCCAGCCGGTAGAACTCATCGTTCCTTTGTCAGATAGACTACTGCAGTGCACATGTTCAATCCACATCATTAAAAGCTCCCTTGACGCAGTTTCCCATCATACAAATTCGAGGCTTAAACATTTTTGCCCAAAATCAGTCATTAAAAATAAACCCCGGGTAATCCGAATATTGCTAATCAAAACAGACAAGGGAAAGAGACAATACAAACCCCACATGAGCGAGACCGGGGAAGCCAGAGATGAAAATCAACCCAATCTGAGCCAGGAAGGGAAGAGCTCGGCTAAGGGTCTTTTCAGTACTCGCTCTCAAGTTCTTCATTACCTTCTAAATCACAGCGCTGAAGGCCAGAAGAGACCATGAGCCAGTCTGACCTCTGTAGCTCACAGGCCATCAGCGCCACCCCAGCATCCGCACAACCCAAATCAGATCAAGTAATCGTAATTTCACACACACACCTAAAATTCTGCTGTTACACGGGAATCAACAAAGAGAAATGTACTGCTAACAAAATGACCTGCAGCTTTGCTTGGTAAAACAGCTGCTTTTGCTGAGATTTTAAAGTTTCCTATTTTCAGGGGATCGGCCTGGCAGCTCTGAAGCTGGCTTGCCTGGGAAGAATCAGGGAGAAAAAACATGACACCAAATACCCTGATAAAAACTCTTTTTGGAGACTTATTGACAAAACTTCCCTCATTGGCTGTTTTATAAATACTTATATTAATTCCTTTAAAGCCATGGAAGCCAATAGAATGGACCACATGATTAATACCACCACCCTCTCACTAAGTGGGGCTTATCAAATAGTGTCCGATATTATCCTCAGCTACTGTT